CGCCTGTTTAATCTGTGCAGCCAGTAGTAAGAGAGCTTGCAGAAGACTCGTTTTAGGGGGTTGGCCTCGTTTGCCGTCACAGCATGTGAAAACACATCCTGCGAATAACTGTGAAGACCCTCTGTTATGTGGTGGGACTGCTGCGGATGTAGGTTGTATGGGACCCAAAGGGCTCAGTTTGCATGGCTGTGGGGAACCAGAAGAGTGTCTGATCGACCAGAGGCAGGGGGGTGCGGAGTCGGGGTTCAGAGTGCGGTCTACAGAAAGAGCCGGAAGGAGCTGTTAGGTACAGCTGTACCGTTCCTGATGGATGACTCCGCTGTCAGATTCCCGGTCGTCCCTGCCGGCCTTTCACACCTCTCTGTCATGTACGTCTCCGTCCTGGTGACGTCATGCTTTGCAGAGTCGGGTTTCAAACTTTGCCCCTAAATTCTGGTAATTTAAGCAGCTGATGGTTAGTTAGAACTCAGTGTAAGCCGCCCCCCACGCTTCCCATGGTCTTCCTCCTGCCCTGATGCTGAGCCGGGTTTTCCCTTGCGAGCCAGTTTGCCATTCAGGGACCCTCCTTGGTGGAGGTCCAGGAGGTGAGTTAGGTTGCAGGATGGGACGAGATCCTAACAGTTCCTGCTGGATGGCGGCCTTGGTCCAGCCCGGTGGAAACTGGCACTGAGCCCAGTGACTTCATGCTACTGCGTCTGAACATGCTGGTTCTCACACTCAGCTCTGCCGTCTCCCTGGCCAAGAAAACAAACATGTCTTAAAGGGGAAGCCTTAGTAATGACCCTCCGCTCTGCCCGCTGATGGTGTTTCAGCCCAGACACTTGGACGGCGTCTCAAAGCCTCAGTCACTGATGATTATGTTCTAGCTGTTTATATTCTGGTGCTGAATGGATCCTAACGCCTTGGTTGCTGGGCACATGTGAAGGGCAGCAAGTGGTCAAGAAACTCAACACTACTCTGCTGTAGTAGACAGATGTGTGTGTCTGTTAATGCTGTGTGTCTATCTGTGTGTGTATGTAACCATTGCCTGCATGCATTGTGCCACCCCTGCCATTCACAGAGTCTAGAGTACAGGGTGTGAAATATGTGGTTGTTTACAGTGAGGGGTGATGGTTGGGCTCTGGTGGATCTCATCACTATGGCAGTGGCCTGTCATCACTGTGTGTGTGTGCGCGTGTATATCTGTGTTAATTTTCCCTTTGCACTGGCCTGTAAGGTGTGTAGTGATCTGTATGTGCCCATGAAGCTACACAGTCTCCAGGATTGTGTGTGTGCCCCCCCCCTAACATATGGGCCTGGGGTTCTTACCCCATAGTGCAGCAGGAGAGACCTTCAAAAGGGCTTTGTGTCGTAACAGCCTTCACCGGTGGCCCGTGCTCTGCTGACATCCGCCAGGCTGAGATAAGCCGCAGTGGCGTGCTACGCTCATTTCATATGTGGAGACCCCCCTCCCCCCCGTGGGGCTCTCCCCCGTACACATGCAGACACACACACACACACAAACACACACACACAGGTTTGTAATTACTCTTGTGATTTAGTGTTTCCCCTAGGTTTACAGCTTTGGGGGGGGGGGCAGACGGACACCGACAGGATTCATGGTGTTCATGTGTTTCTTCTAATGACTGCAGTCAATGTAACAGCTGAACTAAACATCAGAACATTTCTTTTTATGACAATTATCCACAAAGTGTGCAGACAATGTATAGACCTGTTCTATAGGAAAGGTAACCTTAAATGACTATATAGAAAATAAAATTTAAAGAAAATTAACTTGACCTTGAAGGGGGGGCGGGAGGTGCCATTGGTGGGGCAGGACGCCCCCCTAATATAATGGTAGGGGAAACACTGAAATTACTAATCTTTATGGGGACTCTCCATTCATTTCCATGGGGAAAAGTCTAATCACAACAAAACGACCTTAAGCCCTACCTAGCCCTAACCTTAAGTAACCAAACTAATTTTTATTTTTTTGATTGCATTTACAGATCTTTGTGGGAACCTGAAAAATGGTCCCCACAATGTCAAAATAACAGGTTTTTATCACATTGTGGGGACCATAAACGTAAATGTATAAACGTAATATACACGCACATGCACACACAAATACACACACAGACGTTTGTATTCATATCTTTCTATGGGAAAAGCACTAATCCAAACGGTAACAACCTTAACCCCTACCCAGGCCTAACCTTACCATAAGTAACCAAACTACATACAAGAAAAGGTGGTCCCCACATTAAAATAACATATTTTTATCATATTGTTGGGCCATTTGGTCCCTACAATGTAATATATACATCACAGACACACACACACACACACACACACAGGTGTTAGATAGCAGCGATACTGTGAAAGAAAAGGTGTGAAATTAGCTCTGCTCATTCCATAGGTGAGAACTACTGAGAAACTCAATATCCCTTGTCAGGATTTGCGATTTCTTCCCTTCTTCCCTTAGCCGCTCTGATTTCTTGTTCATCGATTGGTTCCTTTAGCTCACACACTTAAAAACGTCTATAGCCTTGGGGACCCAGTCAGTTGAGGATGACATACATTGCACCCCATCCCTGGTGTCCCGGTAGGGAGCTGGGAGGGTGCAAAGACATGGACCGTCTGCTGGGCCCCAAGCGCCAGCTTCAGAAACACTGCTTTAGCGGTTAATGAAGATTGCTTTACCCAAGTGATAAACACATGTGTGCATCCATTTTCTATATATGCACAGACTACATGGATTCTGAGTGGTTTTTGACGTAAATGCATGGGTCAATTCCTTCACAAGCTGCAAAGGATTCTGGGACCTCTTCTGTTCTATCTTGGATCCATTTCTAAGGGTTTCGGGCTGACCGCTGCCTGTTTTCAGGCACAAATGTTTTTAAACTAATTTATCATATCAGCCATCGGTGAAGACCACAGTCTGTTTTCTGAACTAATAACATTGAACTATGGAAGTTTCTGGTTTGGCCGTAAAGTTGCATAGCAGGCTGAAAAGTTAACTGAAGGTCAAGTCAGCAACCAGCCTTTAGCATGGTGTGCATTAGAGGTATTGAAATCCATTTATGTTGAATGTTTGCCTTCGAGTCTTAGTTGAAAAGCTTGAAGGCCGTAATAATAGTCCCTGGAGAAAGGCCTGGAGTAGGCCTGGAGTAAGCCTGGAGTAGGCCTGGAGTAAGCCTGTGCCCTTCTCGTTGTATTTTCAAGGGTCTTAGCACGTTGCCAGCCATTGCTGCAGCCCGGCTCTCGCAGCCGCCACGTGTTGACCCAAGGCCCGCAATAACTGCAATGTCACGCATGCGATCTTACTGAGAAAGGCTTGTTTCGGTAACCTTTGTGGTGTGCTTGTAGTAAAGTCTGTTTTTTTCGTGTCACCTCAGCTGTCTGTAAACGAGTCTGAATTCCAGAACCCCCCTCTCCCTACCCAGAGCAGGCCGCTGTTTGTGACGTGGGTGAAGGGAACGCGAGTGGCAGGGCGGGCTTGTCCTTGGCGTCATGTGGCAGCTATGTCAGGGTCAGCCTGGCGTGGGAGGGGGGTCAGCGAGCTGGTCCCCGCCGGGCCGTGTGATCGCTCTGTGAACAGCAGAGAGTCAAGCTGGGTCTCCAGGCAGGACGGCAGATTGGTTGAACCTTAAAGGTCAGTTCGATAAGGTCATTCCTTACAAATCCATTACGTTTTATTACGTGAACTCTGAATGGAGAAATAGGCCACAAATTTTGAAGAAAAAAAGTATCATGGATCATGAGAAGATGCTTTTTCATGATTTTGTATGGGGGGGGGGGGGGTCACAGTATGCTTTCCAAAAATCGTGTTTACCTGCCTTCAGCATCAAGCGCCTGTTGAGTGTTGATTTTAACATTGTTTAAACAAGATTTTATTTACTGCTTAGCGTTCAACCAGCCTCTGCGCTGTGAAGGCAAGAAGTCTAGATGTGGTGATGTTGTCAGGCATGGCCTAAAGGTTGCCGAAGGTTACTGAAATGAGCCTTTCTCGGTGACGATGCGCGCGTGACGTCACTGTCATCACGGGCTTCGTGTTAAAATGGGACGGCTCAGAATGGCAGTGTGCGACCCTGGCCAGCAGCATGCTAACATCCGCGAAAACCCACCACGACCGCTGCCTGTGCAGGATAGCCTCTATTCCAGGTCTCGCTCAGATTATGGAACACTTTAACTTCTCTTACCGTAATTATGCAGATCGCACACAAATCTACATTAGTGTCACTACGTGACTTTAGTCCCTTGAATTTACTGAATATGTGCATTTAACAAATAAATGAGTGGATATTATTTTCTATAACTGAACACAGAAAAAAGCCAGAAATCTTGGTGTAGTCCTGGTCTTGCACCTTAATTTCAATGATTTCTCTCTAAACCAGATACAGTAAACCTCGTTCATACATTTATTTTATTGCACATATTTATCTATTTTAAATTTAGCAGGCTAGACTATTGTATGTGACAGTATCTTCACAGGTTTTAGCAAAAAGTCAGTCAGACAGCTGCAGCTCACCCAGAAGTCCTCACTAAATACCAAGAATGTAGAGCATATCACACCGGCCCTTAAAGCACGGTAACGGCTTACTGCTCTTGACAAGGTTGATTTTAAAATAACATGATTCTGATTTACTTGTACATCATGAAGCATCCAGACCTCTGAGGTCACCTGGGAAAGGTTTACTCAGTGTTCCCAGAGTCAGGACCAAGGAAGATGAAGCAACGTTTGGTTTCTATGCTCCTCTTATTGCCTAGTCCATACTATATTGTGTATTAGTCCTTAAAAAAAACGTCATATTCCCCAGTCAGTAAATGTGTATGCTTTTGGGACAAGTCTAACGCCACAGACACTCTTTCCTGAAGATAATAACTCAAAAACTATTTGACAGATCTTTGTCAACCTCATAGAGGCATTGTGTGGGTGAGGAAGATCACCCAAAATTGAATTCAGACACTTGATCCTGTTGAGAGAATAACTCAAAAAGTATTTGATGGATCGTTGTCAGACTTTGCAGATACATTATATGGGTGAAGATTTGGACCTGTTCAAAACTGAAGCAACGACACTTGGTGAATGCAGTGGGAAGGATGACATGTCTAAGGTGCTTGACCTTGTGAACAGGATAACCCTATTTGATAGTATTGTTCTCTTTACTTAATTTCATGTTTGGATCTTATTACCACTTCGTAAAAACATTATATGTATGAACATCTACTCCTGATAGACCTAAGACAAATAGCCCCAAAATTGAAACAATAGGTGGCAGCAGAGGACAGACACATCAGCAGCCAGTAGCAGCCATATTGTGAACACATCTATCATGTAATCGTGTTCTATGGAACGTTTTGCAAATTTACCTGTAAAATTTGTACAGGTCAGTGATTTTCAAATTTTATAAGTTATAAGATGATGGTCAACAGAAGGACTCAGCTGATTTTATTGGTAGCAGTCTGGTAGCTGGTTGGCAAAATGTATTATGGGTAACTCAGCAAAATATATTGCAGGGGAATATATTTTGTGGGTTAGTATTTTAAGACTTTCTCTAGTGAATAAACTAAATCCTTCATCCTCTACTACGGAAAGTGGCTGCGTCCTTAGCTCTGCTGCTGCTAACTTTGAATAAGGGTAAAGCTTCAATACCTTCAATAGAAGGGCCAGTTAATCTGTATTAGGTACAGAGGTGGGTAATTCAGGTCCAGAGAGTAAAGGTCCAGACCAAGATTTTGTTTCAACCAACCAGTTTAGTATAAAGAATCATAGTCACAGAATACTCAACTGGTTGGTTGAAATGAAATCTTAGTCTGGACTTTTACTCTCTGGACCTGAGCTTTCCACCTCTGATCAGATGTTTAAAATCAAGCCTGCAGCTAAGCTCTGGAGGGTGGTAGATCTTCAGGAGCAGGGTTTGTGACCAGTAGCCTGGACCAGTAGCCTGGACCATATTTGAAATCTGTCTTTGAAATCTGTTGCTGTCCCCATAATCTTCATGACAATGCAGTCTTTCGGTGTCAGGTTTTGAAATGATACCGAATACTATGAATGTTAATGGAGAGGAGATATTTAAATAGTTTACGTGGTATATGATTATAAATCACATTTTTTCCCAGTGTTGTTGACATGTGTTTATCTTGTACTTTTTTTATTCAGATCCACAGAGAAAGGGACACCTATCCTTCTGTCAATTGCTGTTCAGAGCCCAGTGTCCTGGAAAGGAAGCAGAGCTCGGCAAGTCCTGGTAAGAACAGCATTCTTCGGAATCCGGAATGTCAAGTATCCTAGGTAATTGATAACTGGATGAGTTTATTTGAGGCCAAGTGGTATAGATATCCCAAGAAGATCCAGATGGAGCGTGGGTGTGGCATCAACCACTTTTAACACTTAAAAAGAAAAACCATAGATACTATAGATTAGCTTGTGATTTGACTGCTGGCAGTACAATCCTTCCAAGTTCATGGAGATGCACTTGTCTTGCGTCCAGGGCAGAAAAGTTGCAGGCACGTAATGCCAAGTTCCTTTATGGAGCAAACCGATCTGCTTTGTGTCCTGAGGTATGAGCAGTCAGGCCTGTATCCTCACAGCTACTGGCAAAGTGTTAACTTTGCATCTACTGCTAAAGTATGCTAAACATCTGCCTTTAATGAACGGTGTCTGAGGTGAGGAATGATGGCCCTCAGGCCAATATGTGTATTTCTGATGCATTTGACAAACACAAAGTTATGGGGAAATGTCAACCCATAGTTAGTGCAGTAGTAAGTCGTGTGGCATGTGGCCAGTTATGTTTGGAGACAAGTCCATGACTGAGGACCAATGAAAATTCACTTTAGCTTTCGTCCAATTGCTTTGCCATTACAGTCTGCTGTGGACAAGTTTCCAGACCCATAGAGCCATAGTTGCCAGTCTCTAAAGTTTTGAACCTCTTGATCAGGTAGTCTAGCTCTCTGAGTTTGGACATCTCAGTCTGGTAGCCAAGCTCAGTTTATTGGGACCCCTCGGTCTCATAACCCAGGTCTGTGTCTTGGCTATCGTAGTCAGGTGACCCAGTTCTTAGGGTTCAGAGCTCTTCAGTCTGGTAGCCAAGCCCTGTGTATTTGGGTCTGTCAGTCTGGTAGCCAAGCCCTGTGTATTTGGGTCTGTCAGTCCAGTAGCCAAGCCCTGTGTATTTGGATCTGTCAGTCTGGTAGCCAAGCCCTGTGTATTTGGACCTGTCAGTCTGGTAGCCAAGCCCTGTGGGTCTGGACCTCTTGTTCAGTGGTTTGGTTTGTCATGCAATCTGATCCTTGAAGTACCATATTCTGCCATAGTCCAGTGAAGAATGTTAAGTGCGAAACAATCACAGTTAATTTTGCTGAAGTATTTGGCTGAGGTGGGCTTTTTTTTGTTTTGTTTTGACTTTGGTTGTAATGCCACACCTTGTGAAATATTTGAAGAATGCTGGGAGATCAGAAGCTCGCCATTGTGTTGGGATTACCTCATGAGGGTCGTCTTTGAAACACGCTCAGGATACTGGTTTTCAGATGTTGTCTGCCCTTCCCCTGGGATCGATCGCCGCAGGGTCTAGCCGGTGTCTGTGCGATGCTGACTCATGCTCCCATTGTGTTAACGTGAGATGGAACGGGAATATGTAGCGGAAGGAAATAAATGCCTTCCTTTGTAGAACAAGAAGACAATGATAAAAGAAAATTACAAGAGATCATCTGTTTTGCTAACTGAATTCAACATCCTGCTTGGGGTGGAGCAACAGAGCAATAACCGATTGCTCTGTCGTTGCGAGTTTTGGGCCACAGACCACGTCTAATTTTGTCATCGGCCCAGTTTGGCTGGGCTTCTCCCATCTAGTCATCATCTCATTTGTGAGCTGGACTCTCAGGGCTTTCGGTGACTGTTTTTCAGGGCTTGTGAAACGCGACAAGCATTTTGGGTTTCAGCCGTCTGTCCCCCTTTTCCCAGAATCCCCTGAGTCGCTCACCCCTCGCAGCACGGGGAGCTCGTTGTCCACGCCGCTGCGGGACTCGGGCAGCGACGCAGACGGCCTCTCCTGCACCGATCCCGGGGATGACGCCTTGTTCCAGAAGGTGAGCTCACTGGGTGGGTCGGGCGGTGAGTTGGCCTGACCTTGGCATTGAGGGATGGGAATAACTCATTCATTTACTTGCACTTTAATCTGTGTTTTATCCTTTTATTGTTCACTTAAAATTACAATGATCAGTGTTGTCAAGTATTTATACTGCCATTGATTTTAATAATTAATTGGGTTTTATAATTGTGACTCCATTTCAGTCCTGTCCCGTTATTAGATTATCATTTTAGATAAGCACCTTCCAAGTGTGGTTTCTGTTTCATTTCCTATTGAGTGGCTGTTAATGTGAGGTCAGGGATATCTCTGTTCGTCTGCTGACTCTTTAAGGCTCCCTGCCTTTATATTTTGGGCATACCCACCGCCATATCACTTGTGAACATCATTCCTCTGCACTTTGCTAATGCCGATGGCATTGTCTGTCCCGGGGGATTCTTATGACCTCATCGGCATTTCTCGGTCATGGAGCATATGAACGTAAGGCTCTGACGCCGACTGTTTCTCAGGTCCCTGGGCCAGTGCCTCTCACCCCACAAACTCTTCCAGCTGCGTTTGGCTTGCTGCTGAGGTCTAGTACGTACAACCCGATGGAAGTCCCCTGTGTTTATACTGCGTTATAAAGGGCAAATTTATATGTCTTTATTAAAGTGGCCTGTCCTTACTGAGCAGCTATTATGGAAATCGGCATCCAGTCTTTTTCTTACATCTGTACTGTAGAGTCTCTGATCTCATATGCTGTTGTCATATGCATTGGTTTTGGACAGATTTAGCAGCTCAAACTATGTGTAAGTACTAATAACAAAGGGTTTAACTTTAGCTGTTTGACCCAACATTCTCTGTTGACTCTGAGACGCTGTGCTACATGCTTGGAAGATGTTGGGAAACGTGCATATATTTGGAGTCATGTATTCTGGATAAGCTCCGCCCCCCACCCCCGTTCACCGCCCAGTATTCCTAAAATCGAGTATGACTGTTACGTTGACTCACTGCACCCCACCGTTGACCTCCTGACACCAGAATGCAAACACTAATAAGTTTGCTGGAGAAGGTCAAGCTTCCAGTACCGTGTTTCTCGTAGGTTGCCTGTCTTCTCCCTATGTGGTGTTTTGGGATGAAATGCTCCTTATAGTGTTTCGGTGATCCCTCCAGTATAGGGTACTCCCTCTAGCCAATGAGGAAGTTAATACAAATTCACAGGAACACCACTGGAAAAGCTTTTTCTGGTAGTCCATTGGTAGACATGCTCAGTCCAGCTCTGAGGACCTTAACACTCCACTGGTGCTTCTATGTTCAGAGCAACCTTACGGTACGTATCTCTGTGCTCAGAGGTATTGTGCTTATAGAGATTGAGCAGCCGTGTTCCACCTTCTGGTTTTGTAGATCTAGGTTCCAGATTTTTTTGGAGGACGTCAAATTGCATCACTAGCACAGTTGATTTAAAAAAAAAAAATTAGAAAAATAAATTCACATCAGTTTATGCTCGACTTTTTTTCAATGTCGTTTCACAAAGTAAGGAATTTAAATGACGTTTAGTAATCAACTATCAGTTTAAAACCTACAATGGCCACATCTCCTTCTTTCATTATGTTTACATGGGCGGGAAGACAACACACAGTAGAGCAGTATACAGTTAGACAACAGAATCACGAAAGGAGTGCAGTGACAGGTAGCCTATAATGTTTAGTGAAACGAAAGTTCGGAAAAGTTTATTCATTATAGCTAATGTACTGTATTCATATGCAAAACTATGATTTATACTATAATACATGTGAACGGGCTCACACATGGAATTCACACATGTAGCCTAGCCTAATATACAGCTAGCTTAGCATGGTTAGCAAACACAAGCATGTGCTAATGCCTTACCTGTACTGCATGATAACGATGATGATAATGATCTCTCTGCACTGAACAGCCTGCCAATGTTTTATTACTGAATTATTGAATGACTTAATGGTTTCTGAGCTGAAAAGCTAAAGGTCTGTCTGAACTCGTCTCTCCGTGTCGGTCCACAGGGGGACGGAACACCAACTGGAGACAGCAGCAGTGAGGTGTGGGCCTCCTGTTCCTCTACGGACGACACGGCCAGTACAGGAGCGCCGGGCTCTGCCCCCCCTGGGGAGGGGGGAGGCAAGGCTGGGGGTGCAGGAGGGGCCGAGGCCGAAGAGGAGGCCAAGGACAGGCTGACGGAGGTGCCGGCCCGTGCCATCATCCTGCGTTCCTCGGTGCGCTCCCTGTCGCCCCCCCGCCGCCACAGCTGGGGGCCAGGAAAGAATGCGGCAGGGGAGGCAGAGTTGAGTCCACGCAGGTGAGTCTCTTACCCATACCCCCCCAAACTGTGGGGAGACACTATCAGACTCTGGGCATCTTTGTCCTGAGCTGTCGGATCTAGCTGAATTGCCTGCTAGGTTATTGATTGCCAAAATCGTTTGCTTAGCTAAACTGTAAATTGTCAATGTGTTGGTTAAGAGAACTCTGTTTGGTCGCCTTGCCCTGGGACGTGCTCTAAAAGTCGTAGGGTTTTCTGGGTATAGTTACCCCCGATCGCAAATTCACCATGCTTCTGCGGTTTGTCAGCCAACGTGAGCTACCGAATGTAAGATCTGTATCTGAATATGAGAAACTGCCCCCCCTCCCCCAACACTGAGGATTATGGAGGGCGCTAATTATGTAGCTGCCAGTTTTTGTCTGAATAAGTACATATGATGTATGAGGCACAGGGGTTTCCTGGAGTCATCGTAGGGGCTGCAGCAGCAAACTGAGGCAGGTCGTGACTCGCGAGTCAAGAGCACGGTGGCTTGCTGCACAGGAAGTGGGGGGATTACTCAGCTCCTGCTTTAATTAAATATTTAATCAAACAAACAATGGATGAGGATGTTTGTGTGTCTACATGTTATAGTGCCTTTGGGGCCATGCATGTTAAGTGCTCTTAAGTCCGATATTGAATAAACAAATGCAGACGTGTGTGTGTGTGTGTGTGTGTGTGTGTGTGTGTGCGTGCGCGCTCATGAATGATCCATCCTCTGGCCGTGGTTCTCTACAATTTAAGCTGTCACCCCTGCTGTACCTCTTTGGTGCACACCCCTTACTGGGGCACAGGGTTTCAGCATCATTACAGTTGCATTTTGGGATAGCAGTTGCCCTCTTTGGTAACCGTGATGGGAGCGTAATGGCGTAGTCCTTCCTAGTGGGAAAGCACCTTGTGCCCTTTAGTAAACAGCTGCATGATCTCCTGGGGACTGGGGTGGGAAAGAGAGATATTGTATTTTTAGAGGAACTGTTGGGGCCCCCCACCCCCCTGTGGGGTTTTGACATTCAAAGAGAGTGACAGTTGTTGGTCTGGCTCGACAACCACTTCCTCTTTCTTCCTCATCCCATCCTCATCCACTCTCTGGAGATACTCCGTCTAACTTCCATAGTTTGTCGCTTTGAAAAACCACATTAATCAGTTTCTTCTCAAATGTGATACCCTCCAGGGCTGAACAAATGAGCTTTACCACTTTGTCATTCCATCCTTTGTCATCCGTCATTTTCAGTACATTGAGAAGGCCGGACGACAGGAAGCCGTCATTTCATAGGAGGAGGTATAGCAAAGACGATTCTTCTTTTGATCGCCACCGGTCTGCAAAACACTTTCTGAAAAAACTGCTACCAGTTGCACAATCATCTAGAACAGCAGCTCTCAGGCTGGGGAACTATGCATATCACATAATAGGCTTTAATGCGTGTGATTCACACCTGGGTCAGCAGGGGAGGTAACTTGCTCTCCAAGTAATGCTAGCACACCCTGTAAGTGTCTAGGCATCTATTGATGAGTGCAGCCCTCAAAGAGACATAACAACATGATGCTAGACATATATCTGCACTGTGACTTGTGGAGAAGCTGCTGTAGGGCAGTTCAGGCTACTGTAGAGGGACGTGTGAGCAGCGTTTAGAAATTGTGGCAGCCTGTGCATTCCACTGAGCTCACCCACCCAGTAACTCCGTCCTCTCTATCCCCGTTTCCATGGCCCACCCTTGGCCGCTCCGGTCATTTTTCCGCTCCAGTATGAGCTGGTGTCCCTCGGATGGCCCCGGTCCCAACACGGACGAGATCAGTACCAGAAGGTACGCTGTGCCTGGAAAGGGGGCGGAGTCAAGTTAGGAAGCGTTTGGGGGGAGGTGGGTGTGAGGTTGAGGTTGAGGTGGACGAACAGTATTTGTCAGTGTCTGTAAATCTCTCTTCTCTGTCTCCACCCTCTGCTCATCTTTGCTAACCCTCAAGCCAACAGTAACTTCCTTCTCATAATTTGAGGAAGTCTAAGCATATCAAGATTCTCCACGAACAAACAACAAACATCAAATTCTTCTTGGTTTTCGCCTGATTTTCACACTTGGTGTTTGACTTTTGGTGGTCCTCACCTTGTATTTAACAATGACTAACATAATAATCTGCATCACAGAGCCAGAGGTCAGGTAAGCAGCGCTTCTCAGTCATTTACGTCATCTGATGCTTCTTAGTTGTGAGTCCTGTTGCTCTATGAATGTAAGGGTGTGCTTTCAGCTCCGTCCAGCTTAACAGTTCTGCTGCAAGCGTACTGCATGGCTTCACTGAAGCGTTTTAGTGTGCATGGGATGCATTGTGACCCGTTTGCAGAAAGCCGTCTCTCTCTAGCCTGACTTGAGAGCTCACCATCTTCCTGCTTAATTGGCCCTTCTTTAGTCTCCCTGCCCTCCTTCATGGAGACTTGCGCAGTATAATGGAGGGAGTGCTGTGCTTTCATGTTCCCCCATTTCATCGTGTACATTGGCGTGCCCTTGCCAACCCGTCCCCCGCCCCTTGTTCACACCCCTGAGGGCACATGTCGCTTGTTGTCCTTGGGGGGGGGGGTTATTTTCCCACCAAAAGCAGCATTATTATCGCGCAGATCATTGCACGCGCTCGCTTTGCTAATCGGGGTTTCAACAACAGCATCCCACGGTACGTGTGAATGATGCGAGAAAGTGGTCTTCTTTCGAACAGGAAGTAACTTCAGCTAGCTGCTCGAGGGTGGTGGGCGAGCTGCCTGCTGTGCCTGGGTGCCGCTAACCTCTCCAGTGTACCTGTTTCACTTCAGCTACAGCCTGGAGGGCCTGACCGCAGATGGGGATGCCAAGGAGCCCCTCCCGCAAGTCAGCCCTCCGCGGGATCCCGGGACGTCGTCCCAGCTGGACAGTGAAGACAGGGGGTCACTGATCTCCTTGACTGAGGAGGAACAGGAGTGCTACCTGGGGGACTGCAGCAGCCTGGACAGTCAGGTGAAGACACTGTTTGTGTGCAGCCGGTGCGATTAGCCATCTCTCTGGTGCTGTTCCTGTGCAGCTTATGGATGAGGTGTTTCCTGTCGCAGAACTCGATGGGCATCCGACCTGCGATGCAGAGCGGCACCTCCATGACTCTGCCCCTGACCAAATCCGTGTCCATGCTGGCCATCAGTCAGAAGGACCTGGACGGTAGGTACCAGTGCAAACTGCTGCTATGGGAACCAGCTCAGACTGCTACCTGCTTGGTGCTGCTGCTACTCTCATTATTATTATTATTATTTAGTAAGTATGTGGTAAATTTAACCTGTCTTGTGCCTTCATCTCTAAAAGAGGTTGATTCTAAGGATTCGTTGCCCGTGCAATGTTGTTCTTTAACCACAATGAGAAATTCCGATCATGCTGGAACCATAGGTTTTCCCAGAGTTTTCCCAGTGCAGAAATTGGATCTGGAAGAGACAATTGCTACACCCCCCTTCCCCCCAGCCATCCAGGCCCCTTGATTCCCGCACGTGCAGGTGCACGCAGGATGGTCCTATGCCCTGGTGTGGTGTTTAACGGGTTGTTGCTCTGATCTCTTTGTGATATCCTCGGAAAACCAAGAGATGGGACAGATTCGGAAAAGGAGGCATGTCATCTTCTCCTTCAGCATCTCTCCTGTCCTCCCCAAATCCAAAACTCTCTTTTCTATTGGCTCTTCATCCAGTGATGAGGAGGAGTCTAAGAGTGAGTACATGTGGTTTGTGCTGTAGGCTTCCTGCCTCTATAGACGCTCTGTAACCCCATTACCAAAGGCGTGCGGCAGCATTCTGCAATAAACCACCATCCTAATCTCCCCAGCCAGGCACAGGTGATGCCGTTTGCTTCTCACAATAGTTCTGCATCTCTCTGTGCTTCCACCAGGCCAAAAACATGCCCTACTTCTGTGTCTTAGACCACACAGTCCAGTTGCATTTTAAGTTGTCCATGTTTCCCACGTCTTTGCATCCACGATGTCTGTGCTCATTTTCAGTTGAATTTATCGGCCCCCGAGACCAGATATTTTGAAATTCTACTAAACTATGAATGTTTGTTTTTTGTTTGTTTGTCTTTTTTTGATGCATCTAGGCTTTTCTTGACATGTTAAACAAAACATGTTTCTCAAAGCTGGATGTAAACTAAAGGCTAGAGTAGTGACTCATGTTTTTTTTCTAAGAAGTTTTTTTTTTTATGATCTTGCTTAAGGTGCGAAACAGTGGGTAGTTTTCTGATTTCTCAGAACAAAAGTCATATCCTGTTTAATTTAAACAAAGTTGTGACTGGCTTTTCTTCCAGAGAAAACATAGACAGACCTGTACCCAGGTACAGAACCCCATCAGTGACGAGCTACTTTTGATAAGTAGCAGATGTAGATCTTGTCTTTGTCAATATTTCAGTCATGTCAAGGACAACCTTCAGGTGCTCGTCGTTTGTTTGCTCTGCGTGTGAACAATTACGGGTTGAATGATATGTTTTGCTTTTTATTTTTAAAGAAAATTCCAGGATGCTTTAAGATTTGCCGACGCCTTTGTCATCCTGCAGCATTTGAATAATATCTGTGAAACTGCTAGATTTGTAAGAGGAAATGAAGGTTCAAGGATTTTTTTTTCATTGATTTTTCTTGACAAGGTCCTAACTGTCTCGTGTTCCCTAATGCTGTTCCCAATTCCCTCCCTCCTGTAAACATTAATATGTTGATATAAAAAAATAAAGCCTGCCTGTGTTTCCCCTGTGTGTGGCAGCTAAATCTGTGGTCTTACCCAGGGAGTGTACTAATAGACAGCTGAAGTCTAGTTCTGGGTAATTACGGTTAGATTTCATAAGGTGTTTACTTTACCTTATACAGGTAAAATGTAATATGAAGGTGTGGTTAGCTGTGTTAGTAGATGTCAGCGGGCCAGCTCAGTCGTTAGCTGTGTTAGTGGATGTCAGCAGGCTGGCTCAATCCGTGGCTGTGTTGGCGGATGTTGGTGGGCCAGCTCAGTCGTTAGCTGTGTTAGTGGATGTCAGTAGGTCGTCATGGTCATTTCCTGTGTTAGCAAGTGTCTGCAGGCCGCCTCGGTTGTTAGTTTGTGGTGTTGTGATCCCTACCATCGTAGGGATTGTTTTGCTAGATAACAGCGAGATAACAGCTTCTATGTTCTCTCTGCAGGCATGAGGTCCTCATCCCGGACTCTGGGCTCTTTCTCAAACAGGTCAGCTGTGTGATTCCTCATTCCCTCCGTCTGTGTGCCGTGTCCTCTCCTCCCACATTTAGTGACCCCCCCCCTTCACTTCTCCTGGCAGTATATCCGAGGAGGACCCTGGCCCACTGAGGAGTTACACTGAAGGCAAGAGTGGGACCAAAGTGAGCCGCACCTTCAGCTACCTCAAGAGCAAGATGTACAGAAAGAGTAAGGTGCGTACGACTTCGGCACGGG